TGTTACAAAATGCAAGGAAAACAAAACAAGACAAAAACAAAATTTAAGAATAGAAAAATAGAAAGCTCTGTGACCAGGTGTCATGTGGTCTGTTGGAGTCCGGTGGCTGCTTAGCCAGGTGGCTTTATCCTGCATGTCTCTGTGTTTCAGCCTGTGTCAGCAGCGGAGCGCGGCACAAATGGTATTATGTTGGGGACGTCCCAGGAGCAGTTAGGAGTCGGGTTGGAGGAGTCTATTGCTTTAAGTCCTAATTTACCGAGGAAAGTTTCTGCGTTTTCTGTCGACGTCAGTCGATAAGTTGTTGCTCCCTTTGTAACTACTAGCATTGATGGGCCCCATCGGTACCTGACTCCAGCCGCTCTGAGGGTCGTGGTGACTCGCTGCACGGACCGTCTCCAGGTCAGAGTAGCTCTGCAGAGGTCCTGCAGGAAGGTGAACTGCATGCCCTCGAATTGGTATGGGCTCTGGCCACTGAGCATCACCGCCATTTTGTCCAGGGTAGACTGTAATCGGAGAAGGACATCGCGGGAGGCCTCCGTTGGGGCTCTTGGCGATTTGGGGAGTCTGTGTACGCCCTCCACTAGTACAGTCTTCGCCTGCTTAGGGTTAAGAATTGTGGCTAAGAGGCGTCGGGTTAAGTTGTGGCAATTCATTGTCGTCTATGGAGTCTGCAATGCCTCTGATTTTTATGTTGGAGCGGCGTCTTGCGTCGTCTAGGCCATCCAGCCGTGCCTGTAGTGCCTGGTGTGAGGACTGGAGGTGTATTAGCTTCTCCTCCATTGCTTGCTGGCGTTCTGCCACAGCAGTTATGTCTTCCTCCGCAACTCTCACTCTGCCAGTAACGGCGGTCACTTCCTCCTGCAAAATCGCCATGTCTGAGTGGAATAGGGTGCGCAGGTTCTGTAGTATATTAGGATGTCACCTTTGGTGGCCGGAGCTCTCAGGTCGCCCATTGCTAGGCTCGAGACGGGGTCTGTAGCCTCTGGTATGGGATCTGGAGCATCCAGTGTTTCCTCCTCCGAGGATGAGCTTTGGGGATCTGGGGTCGCCGCCATTTTAGGTTTAGGCCTCGCCAGGAAAAGATCACCTATTTTCCGGGATCCGTCCTCAGGGTGAGTTTTTAACTTTTTATTTCTTTTCCCCATGGTGTCGTTGAGCGTGGGGGCTGAAAAGTAGTCGGATTGTCTTCGTGTGGATCGATTGATCTGCATTTATCTCCGTTATTGCTCGGGCATAAACCCTTCCCCCGAGCACCAACCGATGACAGGGCACTAAGCAGCATTAAACCCTGCTTCGCTCTCCTGGACAGCCTTTAACCAAAATACTCCACGTCTAGACAGAACTAAGACTAGCCCATCTCACGTAGGAGAAGAATCACCACCTTCCCTATCCAGATTATGCACAGCAGTTAAGATGGTTAGGTGTCCCACTCCTTTGTTATTCTGGTGTACAGTATTATTCTACATGAGCCTAGAGAGAGACATCTCCCCTCCAACCCCCCATTTATTTTTTATTTTTTATTTTTTTTTCATTATTTTTCTTCAATCGGTGACCTACGACTAACACAGCCTACTTTTACTCATAAAATGTGCACTGTACTCACTTATATGTCCACATAAATGTAATACTATATTTGATGCCCAGTTTGTACCAGCTGTTGGGGCAGTACAAGCTCACTTGTTTATTTGAATGCACGAAAAAATAAAGAATTTTTTTTTAAAAAATAAGGGGCGTTCCTCGTCCTTGACCATCATGAGATTGGTCCGAAGATTGACTTGGCTGTCTGCCTCATTTAAATTTTACCTTTGCTGTGAACATATTTCAGGTATAGATAACAAACTGGCTGACGCATTATCACACTCTCATTTTCAGGTTTTCTTTCAGCTGCACCCCACAGCTCTGGTGATGGATTAGACAACCTTCTGTATCACACACATTCTGTACATTGTGTTAGCAGGATTGCTAGCAAAATGTATATATTGAAAGAAAAATTTATTTAATAAGGGGTATTTCTCTCATCTGTCAATCAAATAACTGAGTTACAGGTAGAGCAAGAGCAAAGATGCATTTTGATGGTAGTCACCATCATTGGGGATGGAAGACAGACACTATGTGTGGGTCCGCAGATTCCTTTTGTGTTTTGGTCACCCTGCGCCCAGTATTGGTGCAGGGTATGTTGAATGTATTGCTTGTATGTGCCTTTCCCCCCTCCCCCTTTTCCTGTCCTATTGTTTCCCAAGCAGGGCGTTGTCCCAGGGACACTGCCAGACCAGTTTAAAATAGCTGCCCTATCCCTCCTCCATCTCCCATCAATCTTTGCTATTGTCTGACCCCACCCTTCCTTGTACTATAGTGACTTATGCACCCTATTGTATGTAAATGAGGCTGTTGGGGATTAACTATGTGTGCAATGTCTATTAAAGTTAGTTATTGTTTTAACCTTCACCAAGTGTCATCTGGTGTTTGGTCCAGGTTGGAAAAGGCCCTCAGTGATCCCAGTCAAGCCTCAGTGACTGGATATGAAGTGCTCCAGGGTCCCTGATAGCTACAAGGAAGCAGACTTGGCGGAGGTGCCCGACCCTGGTACAGGGAGCTCCGCGACTTGCATTCCCCACCCCCATCCCACGCAAGAAAAAAATCTGTGTTTCTATTCACCCCACTTTTGAATTTTTTTACAACCTTTTGATTTTCTTACCCACCCCTTCTGTGTTTCTTTCTCCCCCAAGCCTCTTTGGTGTGTCCCAGCCACTTTGGTGCTCCCTTCCAGCCCCTCTGTGTTTCTCTTTATCCAAAGATCCTCTGTGTCTCTTGATTTTGCCCTAGCACCTATGTGTGTCTCTTTCCCCAAACCTTTCTGTGTCTCATTTTCCTCTTTCTCTGCACCTCCTTGTGTTCCTTTTTCCCAGTCCATCTGTGTGTGTTTCTTTCTCTTCCACAGCACCTATTGAGTCTTCCCGCCATCCATTTGTCTCCTTCCCCCATCCTCTCCATGTTTTTCCTTCCCCACAGCACCTCCACATTTCTCATTTCTCCACAGCCCCTCCATGTGTCTCATTCCCCCCCAGGCTCATCCATGTGTCTCATCCCCCACAGCCCAACCATGTGTATCATTCCCCCACCATTCCAGTCACGTGTGTTATTCCCCCCAGCCCCTCCATGTGTCTCATTCCTCCCATCCCATTCATGTGTCTCATTCCCCCACAGCCGAGCCTTATGTTTCAATCCCCCTCCAGCCCATCCATGTGTCTTACAAAATTAAACGGAGTGGAAGCCTAATATAGAATAGATCTATGGGGCAGTGAAGGGGTTAACCCTGATTAGGATTATGAAAGAAAGAGGAGAGAGACACTGTCCTAAGTGAGAATAATTAAAACATAACTTTTACTTTCATGAAAATACAATAGTTGATATATAAAGATTACTCTCAAAAAACATAAATATAAAATAGAGGAATTGAGGAGAGATAATACGTGGAATTAAAAAAGTATTAAACTAGTTGACATTAATGAGAATGTCAACTGTAGACAGACTAAAGAAAAGTATAAATGTCTAGCTATAGATAGAGATGATTCCTGATAAATAAGGCTGGACAGGGCGCTAGAAAGTGTAACAAAAAAGTAGCTAATAAATGTTGCAGTGTGCAATAGCTGTTGCAACTTGAAGAACATAGATACATATATGATACCAAAAGCTTAAATGATAATTGTAGATTATGCTAGCTTTAGTGTACCTATAATCTTAATTTTATTAATTAAAGGAGGTGAGTATTTGCTTAAATCTCTCTTTACTAGAACTCCACAGCGGCACAGAAAACAACCAATCAGAAAAAAAAGTTAGGTACTATAAAACTCCCCTCCCCATGCATCATTTCCTCTTTCAAGCTGCGACAAAACAGAACAAATGTCAGAAAACATAATGGGGAAGAAACTAAGTCCTAGATACAATGAATACAGCAATGTCCACCATCCGAGAAGAACTGCCACACCAGATAGCGTTGATGGACTGTAAACTGAACAGGTTGATTATCCAATTAAATGTACTCTGAACAAACATGTAGGTATCCAATGTAGCAACCAAAATTACCGTAACCTGCATAGATCCAAACCCTACTTATGAAAAACAGACATAAGAACAGGTAGCAGAGACAACAAGCAAAGTTGCATACGGTACGTATGATGAACCCAAACTATAAAATTAAACAAGGGAGGGAAATACTCGCCTCCTGTCATTAATAACAATTAAGATTATAGGTACACTAAAGCTAGCATAATCTACAATTTTATAACATGACAGGAGGCTTCAAATTTGCGGTTTTAACGCTCAGCCCACAAATCCAACGCAGTTTGTTTCGCTGGTACCTATTCCGTGATATATAGGTGCAACCCTAAATGGACCTTCCAACTGCGAGAAGTGCCAGTAGACGGATCAATGAAGATGCCAACTGTCGAGGCACCCCAAAATACAGAAAAAACACCATCCGCTGGTAGATCCCTTGTACATGGGGTTGCGACCTGTTTCCTAGCAGCCGGTCCATGAGCTGCCAAGCTGACCTATTAGCCATTTCCCTGTAGGTGTAAACTGCCGAAGGTCATTTGCGGACTCAGGGTCACGAGAAGAAACCGTCACCAGATCTCGACTCTTGATGTGGAAGTTGGCTCCTCCGATCGTGCCAAGGTCACCAGGCGATGTGGCCTCGCCGGCAAGTCTACCACCAATTCCGTCATAGAACCGAGTAAGGTCTTTTCGTTCCCTCATGGCCTACCCGGTGATTTGTCTCATCCGAGATTAAATTTATTATGCAGGCAAGAGTGCGGTCAAGCTAGCTGTATCCTAAGTGATTCCAGTATTTCAAATGGACTGTGTAACCCACAACTGCGGTAGAGGAGGAACTCTCAAAGGACGTCCAATCAGGGTCCCAAACTGAACTTGTGTAGTGAAGTGGTAGGCGACTACTCTTGGGATTGTGAATCCCGGAAATATTCAAAAGGAGGGGAACGTAACTGGGTTGAGATTTCCATCCAGATATATCATCGTCTAAGAGTGACAAGATGTCTGGATCCAATGGTAATCGGGACCTGTTTAACAAAGAAGAGTCCTCAAGTGTTGTAGTGAGAGAGTGCAATGAACAGATTATACAATCCTGTTCCATGCCCGACCTGTCAAAATCCGTGGAGGAGTTCCCGGTCTGCACGGCACCTACAAGATAGGGCATAGTATAGTGAGACCCACCCTCTATAATGAATCAGTGTCCGGTTCAGTATATGAGAGGGGTTCGCTCTCTACTCGTGTAAATAAAAATCTCAGTCTCGGGTCAAAGCGATGGAGGGACGCACCCTCTTGTAATCCAAACTAGGGTCCATATCAGGCCCAGGGTGACCAACTGCGGAGATACCATTTAATAATATCCGCATAGTACTGAGATTCTGAGGGGGGTCCCTCTCTGACCACGAGACCTCTCTCCAAATCACTCACCTGAATGGAATGAACTGGTAATAACCCAGACCAATGGTAGATGGAATAGTATACAACCTCGAATAGTGTCCATCTTAATAACAGAAAGGGATGATGAGGGAATGCAACCTCTGAAAGCAATGATGGAACCTACCAACGGACCGCCCGGATCCCGTGTGGGATCCAGGATGACCGTCGGTAGTCTGAGGAAAGCTGGAGATGTTCTCCGCGATCCACGAGAGCCCGGGAGGTCGGAGGAGGTCAAATCATGCATCTTGACAACCCGTGCGATAGGGAAAATGGAAGGCACAAAAACAAAGAAAAACAAACAATGTAGATAAGGGTAAATACGTACCTTGGGGAGAAGGTAGATAGCAGGCTGGAGAAGCCAGTCAAGGAAACCCAACTGAAAGGGCCAGGCGCTAAACATGACGCGGAAAAAGCTATCAATACCTAAGATGGATACCGTAAAGGCAGCTAAAGGGTTAGTTGCTAAAGGTAAGGAAACCTTGCTCCCCTGTTGGCGTCCGAGCACTGGTCCCTGTTGTGTGAAAATACCCTTGGAGATGTTCCACCGCCGGGTTGGTGCAAACCATGGTTGCGTGTCCGGGAATCTTCATAAAAGCTTTGCCCTTCATGGCATGAAGTTTAGGTCCTTCACCCTTACAATCATATTTAGGTGCCTGTATACTGGTGTCCTCTTGGATAGTATGGTAGCAGTGCTTGTCTAGACACCCACCTATCTCCCTGTCAATAGTGGGTACAGAGATCTGCCATAATGTCTCCCAGTGTCTCCTCAGTGTTATTCCCCCAGGCCTGCGGCCAAATGGGGGTTCAGCAGGGCCAGATTAAGAGCCCAGTGGGCCTGGTGCTGATAATTATGACGGGCCTAATTACAGAATCATATCGACCAAAAACAGTAAAACACTCATAAGCATCATGTATCTGATGGAGATGGTGCTGGAGAGAAAGAAAACAGCAGCTATAAGAAAACACATACCCTAGGCTAATCTCTCTATAATTTATGTTTTCAGCTTTCAAGTAAATCCATAACCCCTAACAGCAACGTCCAATCAAGCAGGAAGTCAATAGGCACGGTAAAAGGGTTTGCCACTGACACAAATCACGTAACCTGCCAAAACGGGCAAACATGCCCAAAAAGAGGACATTTCTGCTCAAAGAATTAGAAGGCCAGCCTGACATGAATGCATGTCAGGCTGCCTGCCAATCATGCAGCTGCCCAACTAAGGGCATACTATGCAGTCAACACCCTGAGCTTGGCATAAATGCATCTAATGATGCGCTCACTCAACGCTTTCTAAGGACTGTCCCCTAGCACTCGCTGGTCCACTTGTCTCCTTACCTTCTTACTAGCAGGCAGAAGATCCTGGTATATGGTCTGGGACAGAGTAAAGCTGTATGTAGTGAGTGTAGAAGAAAGGGAACATGCCACAGTGTTAGAGAGACCAAAGTCAGCATTACCTTAAAGGATTACTATAGGGTCAGGAACACAAACATGAATTCATGACCCTATAGTATTAACACCACCATCTAGCCCCCCCTGGACCCCTCATGCCTCCATAAATATAGCAAAATCTATATTCAAGCCTGAAGCTGTAACTCGGCATGCTGTTAGACTCATAAAAACAAGCAGTCTGCTGACATCACTAGAAGTGGTGGCCTGATCCAATCACAGTGCTTCCCCATAGGATTGGCTGAGACAAAGAGGCAGATCAGGGTCAGAGCCAGCATGATTCAAACACAGGCCTGGCCAATCAGCATCTCCTTATATAGATGAATTTAATTAATTAATCTCTATGAGGAAAGTTCAGTGTCTGCATGCAGAGGGAGGAGACACTGAATGTTTGGATGCATTTTAGGCAGCCATGACCCAGGAAGGATCTCTAACAGTCATCTAAGGAGTGGCCAGTGAAGTTATCACTAGGCTGTAATGTAAACACTGCATTTTCTCCGAAAAGACAGTGTTTACAGCAAAAAGCCTGAAGGTAATGATTCCACTCACCAGAACAAATTCAATAAGCTGTAGTTGTTCTGGTGACTACAGTGTCCCTTTCATTGTCAGCCAGTCCACACAAGTTTTGTTCCCATACATCCCACTTAAGTTTCCATACTTAAGTAAGAGTATGTGAAAAGTAGTTAGAGTTGCCACCTTTCTTGGAAAAACATACCAGCCTTACTAATTTGCATAATTAAATATGTATGGATGACATCACATGATGTAAATCACAAGGAGTGATATAAGAGAAAATGCTGTAAAATCACCAAAAAAAACTACTTAGTTTGATTCTGCTGTATAGATGGATTCCTCCCAGTGCCCCCATGTCTCCCAGTGCCCTCGTGACTCAGTGCCCCCATGTGTCGATTACTCCAGGTCTCAGTGTTCCTATGTATCAGTGTCTCAGTACCCCATGTCTCCCAGTGTCCCTAAAGCCCACAATGTCTCCAGTGTCCCTTAGCTATGTAATGTCTCCCAGTGTCCTTAGTGTCTCAGTAGTCTGCCATAATGCTCCCAGTGTCCCTTAGTGTCTCATAGTGTCTGCCATATAATGTCTCCCAGTGTCCTTAGTGTCTCAGTGTCTGCCATAATGTCTCCCAGTGTCCCTTAGTGTCTCAGTGTTCGCTATGAATATCTCCCAATGTCCCTTAGTGTCTCAGTGTCTGCCATAATGTCTCCCAATGTCCCTTAGTGTCTCAGTGTCTGCCATAATGTCTCCCAGTGCCCCTTAGTGTCTCAGTGTATGTCTCCTTGCAGCCTTTTCCCCATCCCTTACTTCCCTGAGCTGTAGGCTGTCTCTGCAGGGTGGGAGTTGCTGTCTGGACTCTCTGTAGCTGCTCCCCTGCAGATCAGTGAGTATAGATAGGCAGGGAGGGATATGCTGGAACTTCCTATCCCTGCCTGTCTCCACACACAGCGACCCCTACTGGCCAGTGCTGGTATTGCATAGTAATCTCTTGTTTATACTGAGAAAAATACCAGCATTCTGATTGCCAGTATCACTGCAATATTGGCACCAGCCAGGCAGCCTCAAATACTGGCTGTGCCAATAAAATAAAAGCCAGGTGGAATCCCTAAGAGTAGTGTGAAGAAAAAAAAAAAGTAAAAAAAAAAAAAAAATTATTATTTTTTTTTTTTTTTAAATCAATGGGCCTATTCCATGGGCCTGGGCCTGGAGCTGCAGCTCCATCAGCCCCTATGTTAATCCGGCCCTGGGGTTCAGGCACAGGTAGATCATGCCAACGATCGACATGGAGCAGGCCAGTCAGAAGGGCACAGACATAGCAGGCCAATCAAATGGGCACAGACATAGCAGGCCAAGCAATGGGGCACAGACATAGCATGCCAATCAAAGGGGCACAGACATAGCAGGCCACTTCAGGGTTGAGTCTAAATGAGTAATAAGGGACCCCTGTGTTTGGGCAGAGTCCCTTAAATATTTGTCACTCTTCAGGGTACCCTGTGACATAAGGTCCCCAGACGCCAACCCCTTTAGACAGCGTAATACTGTGTTAGCAACATATAACTGGGATTAGTAGTCCCTAAATGCCCAGCAGGCAAATAGTGGTATTCCAGCTGTATTGGGTACAAGATGAAAATGTTCCAATGATTATAGTGTCCATTAAAACATGATGCACTGAGCGATTCATTTTTAACTGTGAATAGGTATGCACATGAGCATTCAGACCTGTTTGAGATTTCTTCATCAATATTACGCTTCATCAGCATGCCACCTGAAGGTTATTGCACCCATGGTATATTTTCCGGAATAGGGTAAAACAATAGCCAACACAATGCACCCTCTTATTGAGCTTGGAAGGGACCACCTTCCAACTCTAGTAGTCACAGAACCTGATAGGATTGAATTAGTGTCAGCAAAACGTGCTGACCCCTAATCTAATTGTCAAACTGGCTCTGTATGACTCGTGTAATAGCACTAGAATGCCAGCGAGGGAAAACAACTTGCGGTCCGACCACCGTGTCTGGAGGAGGGGCGGCGAGCAGGCGCACCCTCCTCTAGCCGGTCGGATGCACGCGGCTCTACGAAGAAGCCGGCCGTGGCAAGGCAGCCCCGTGTGCAAGCAGACCCAGCCGCCGGGTACTCGCGTCCGACCGCGAGAAACCCCGGGCGCGGGCAGGCTCACACTGGAGCTCGGGGAGTCAGAGGAGGCAGCCAAATGGCTAGTCTCTTGACACACTGAGCGAAGCACCCATAGCCCACGGGGGAGGCCAATAGAAGGGCGTGGGGTGGGGGGGGGGAAAGGGAAGCAAACTGAAAGGAATCCCC